TTCTCACATATGATATTTAAAATTTTATTTTATAAAATTTCTATGTTGAAGTATTTCTAAAATTTGCATATGCATGTATCAGTTGAAGTATTTCTAAAATTTGCATATGCATGTATCAGATTTTGACCGAGTGTGTAAGCAAATAAGTACTGCATATTTTCTATGAAATTAGATGAGTTCAGTGGAAGAGAAGATTGTATTGCTCATGTGTTCAGGTGCTACTAAGACTTTAATCCATTTACTATTCGTCATTGTCCAAGAATTTTATGCTTCGAAGAAAAACTCCATACCTCGAGGACCATCTGTCATTAGAGATTTACACAGGAACATCCACATGAGTAGGATATTGGGCGGATCAAGCTCAAGTTGTGTTGATTATCGTAGGATACGTAGGGGACCATTCATAAATTTAGCAATATTATTGCGAGAGGGAGGGATTCTGAAGGACACCATACCTGTATTAGAAAATCTGTTGCTGGTAACAAATTATATAGATGAAAAGGTAGGGGTAATCGTTAAGTCTATTGTTGTTTTAATTGCCACAAAAGGCATCATGTTCAGAATATATCGATTTTAAGACTCACATAATCTTAAAATCTATTTTCTAATTAAATTTTGATTTATATATATACACATCATATATATAGTATATCAGAATAATTCTTATTTATGAATTTTAATAATACTTGAAAATTAAATTCTTTAGCAAAATAGATATACTTTGATATTCTATAAGTATTCATATGTTTTTGGCTTTGACTTTGATTAGTTTAGAGAAAATGATGCGAATAGTGAAAATAATGAGAAAATGGTGAGATACCAAGGAGATCATTTTTAGTTATACGTGTTACGCACATGTAACCATATTGATATTGTTAATGATATACGCGAACTTATTATAGCCCTTTTTAATTAATTAGGATTATGATATATATTGGAGAAATTGGTTGGATTTGGGTTTCCACGTTGTAATGGGACAACTATAGGTCCAAATGGGTTGGATTTTTATAATTAAAAGTTAATAGATACTGGGAATAATAGTTAGAGCAAAGATGATATATGTTGGAGAAAAAAGAAGTTTTTAATGGATTTGGGGATGTAATAGAAATTTCCATGATTTGAGTGACTAATTTTGAAATATTAAAGATTTGTTAGTGTTTTTTATATATCTTTATAACTTTTTATTAGTTTATTTCATTTTCCCAGAACTAAAAGGAAATTTCCATAAAACTATATTTGTTTCAACAATATTTTGGGATTTGGAATACTATAATTTGTAATATTTTATTTGTTTCAAACTCAAATTATAGCATTACAAATTTTGGAATTTGAAATCCATAGTTGTAGCAAACAAGTTTTAGGATTAGCATAGGTAATAAATGGTGAATATAAGAACTTTTTTTATTACTTTTTGGAACTTGAAATCCATAATTTGTATAAAGCTTTTGAAATCCACCCTACATCCCACATGAAAAAGAGGATTTTGCAAATCCTTAAATATATTACTTTTTTATTATTTGGGGATTTAATATCCTAAAACTTATTTTGAAACAAACAAGTTTTATAGAAATCTAAAACCCAAAAAAACTCTTTTTACATCCCAAAACTTGAAATCCACACCATATCCCAAAAAAAAGAAACAAACACCCCCTAAATATATCCCTAAAACTGTCTCCATTTTCTTCTTTAACCCGCTTCCCCCCAAAAGTTTCCCCCAAATTCAAAAATCTCGCCCCCTCTAAAATCCCTAACCCCAATCTTTGAAACCCCTCATCTCAAACTCCTAAGAACCGCCTCCTCTTCATCATCATCGTTGTCTCCATACCCTCAGACCCCTCATCATCGTCGTCTCCGTCCTCTTCACCACCATCCTCGTCTCTATCCCCTTAGTGACTGTCCCCACTGCCGCTCCCTCTGTCACCTCCGCCTTCGCCACCGATGAGCCTATTTTCTTTGTGAGACTAAGGTTTCTCTCCCTCTCTTTTTTGACAGCTAAAAGAAACGTGCAATTTGTTAATTTATACTTTCTATTACACTCTTAAATATTGTGTTTTTAACTTTTCGTTTGATCATAAGATTTTCTTGATTAGTTAATTTGTGACACAAAGTTTACAAGTTTACATTTTGTAATTGACCAGTGAATTTTCCTTTTAAAATATATTAGATTTTAAAGAACAACTTCAGATTTAAGGTCGGTTTTTGGTGAGAAATTTTCTTTGGGTTCTTTCATGATTTTGTGATGTTGAAGAAAAAGAGAGGCAGGAAGATGAGATAATAAAACAAAAACATACAATTTGTTACCCCAAAATCTAAGGAATAATTAAAAGCCTGATTTTCTTTGTGAGACTAAGGTTGTTGTCATTTTCTTTCTGCGCTATTGTTATATTGTTGCAAAGTTTATATAGAAACACTACAAATTTTTCTCTTAAATATTCTACCTATATTTAATGAAAAAAGATACTAACTTTTAGCGCAAATGTGGTTGTTGATGGGTTAATCGTGAATCTTGGTATAGACACAAATATCACTTTGGTGATCTCTTTTAGTATAATTAGTCTGCCAAAAAATTTTCCGTAATTGCATTTGGAGGCAAAATACCACATTGATATCATTTACCAGGAAAATAATAAGGGGCTTTATTTGAAAATTAGATGCATATATCAATTCATTCAAGTTTGTGCAGGTCAAGAAGACTACAACAGGCTCAGGCCTCCTAGCTACAGAGGAGCTGATGTCTTCGTCCTAGCATTCTCCCTCATCAACAGGGCTAGTTTCAAGAATGTCAGCAAGAAAGTAAAGCTTGAATCCTTTTCCTCTTATATAATACTATGAAGCACAGATTCACCCCCAATGGCCACGAATCCGTGTCCGACACGAACCGGACACGGATTCGTGCCCGACACGCGCACGACATGTAAAGAACACGGTCAATCCGTGTCCGACACGGGTCAATGGTCAAGAGAGGGGGGGGGACACGGTCAAACAGGGTATGGACACGGTTAGGATACGGCTGTGATGCAAAGAAAAAAAAACGGATGAAAAAATTAAACCCGAAACCCAAACCCAAACCCAATCCCCCAAAACAAAACCCTATCTCACTTACCTGAAGCCGACGCCGCCACAACTCTGAGCTCTTTTTGCTCCTTTGTCGCTCGACCCAAACCCAATCCCCCAAAACTAAACCCTAATCTCCTCGACCTCGAAGCTCGACGAACTGACGAAGAACTGACGAAGATCTCCTCTTCCTCGACCTCGACGCTCGACCAAGATCTCATCATCCTCGACCTCGACGCTCGACGAAGATCTCATCGTCCTCGACCTCAACGCTCGAAGCTCGACGCTCGACGAACAGGTCAGTCTCTCTCTCTCTCTCGATCTTCGTCTCTCTGGATCTGAGTCCCTCTCTCTATCTCATTCTTTCTCTCTCTTTTCTCTTCGTCTCTCTCCCTCTCTGTTGATCTCTCCCGAGTCTCTCTCTCTCAGTCTCTCTTATTCTCTTTCTTAATCTCTTTCTCTCTCTCTCTCTCTCTCAATCTCTCTCTCTCTCTCAATCGTTCTCTTCATCTCTCTTATTCTCTTTTTCTATCTCTCAATCTCTCCGTCCCTCTCAGTCTCTCATATCTTAGTTTTTTTTGAGAAAACTAACTTTTTTGTTACTTATGCAGCTTCTTGATATTGCTGAGCAAGTCACAGATCTACAATCCTATTCTTTATTTGGTAATTTATTTTTTCAATTTTAGTTTCAATTTCAGTTATAATTTCCTAACATATGAATATTTTTTTAATTTCAATTTTAGTTTTAATTTCCTAACATATGAATATTTTTTTGAGAAAAAATTATTATACAAATGAATTATTTGTTAGGCAATGAATTATTTGTTAGACAATGAATTATTAGTTAGACAATGAATTATTTGTTAGACAATGAATTATTAGTTAGACAATGAATTATTACACAAATGAATTATTTGTTAGTCAATAAATTATTACACAAATGAATTATTTGTTAGTCAATAATTTTGTTAGTCAATAAATTATTACACAAATGAATTGTTACACAAATGAATTATTACACAAATGAATTATTTGTTAGTCAATAATTTTGTTAGTCAATGAATTATTACACAAATGAATTATTACACAAATGAATATAGATATTTAATGAATGAATTACAGATATTTATTTTCGCAATTGTGTTGGAAATTTTGATTGATCATTCATCCTTGCTCATTGCTGCTTAACTCTAAGTATAATCTGTAAAAAGAAAAACAAAGTCAGTGAGCAACAACTTATTAATTAGTATAATTAGAAAAAAGAGCTTAAAATAGTAATTTGCATGCTAACTACTAAATTATAAACATGTAAATACTTAATTGTTAATCACTTAATTTTTAACTAAAAACATATTTCATATTTTAAATGAAAATACATTTATAATTTGTACTTGTTACTTGTTGTTTATACTAAATCGAGATTTTTGTATTACGTTCCATATATGTTATGGTTTAATATTTAATTAGTACTTGTTACTTGTTGTTTATAGCAATGGAAGCAGGAGGTAGTTCTGGTGGTGTACAGTCTGTTCAAGATGATCACACTCCTTTGTGGAAGTATGTCACAAAGTTGGAGAAGATTGGTAAAGGAGGGGGGAATTGGCAGTGGATGTGTAGTTATTGCAGTGAAGTATTTACATCCTCCTACTCAAGGGGCAAGGAATTAAAATGTGCAAATGTGTTAAGCCGCATAATTTGAGAGACATGCAAACTAATGCGGATCAAGCAGAAGCAAGGGTGAGGGCTTCTATGCCTAGGACAGTGACGCTGCCAGGTTCTTCAGCGTCAAGTGCAGTAGCAGGAAGTCAAAGCATGCCTTCTCGTCTAAGTGAGCCAAAAAGGAGGAGGGGATTCACCACCGTTGAACAAGCCTTCAATACAGGGGCAAGAGATGAATTGGATTCAATGATTGCAAGGATGTAGGGGCAAGAGATGAATTGGATTCAATGATTGCAAGGATGTTCTATACCGGTGGGCTGTCATTTAATTTAGCAAGAAATCCTTATTTCTCCAAGATGATCATATATGCCGCAAGCAATTCAATTACCGGTTACAAGCCTCTGGGTTATAATTCTTTGAGGACCACTCTTTTGCAACGTGAGAAGGCTCACGTAGAGAGGTTGTTGGAACCCATCAAGAGCACATGGAAGCAGAAGGGGGTCTCTATTTGTAGTGATGGCTGGGCAGATGCACAGAGGAGGCCACTGATAAATTTCATTGCGGTCTCAGACAACGGGCCAATGTTCTTGCACTGTGTGAATGCTGAGGGAGAGCAGAAGAATAAATATTTCATTGCAGAGAAGCTTGAAGCTTGCATTAGAGAGGTGGGGCCTCAAAATGTGATCCAAATCATTACTGATAATGCTTCGGCATGCAAGGCCGCAGGGGCAGTTGTGGAGGGCAAATTTCCACATATCTTCTGGACTCCATGTGTTGTTCACACCCTCAATCTTGCCCTTAAGAATATTTGTGCTGCGAAGAATACAGAGGCTAATGCAATTGCTTATGCAGAGTGCAGCTGGATTACAGAGGTATATGATGATGCTTTGATGATTAAGAACTTCATCATGAATCACTCAATGAGGCTGGCTATGTTCAATGAGCATTCGAAGATGAAGCTTCTTTCAATTGCTGATACTCGATTTGCTTCATGGATCATCATGCTAAAGAGGTTCACTGTGATCAAGAGAAGCCTCCAAGATATGGTTCTTAGCGACCGTTGGAGCTCGTACAGAGATGATGATGTGGGAAAAGCACAGTTTGTTAAGGAGAAAGTGCTTGATGATTTGTGGTGGGATAGGGTGGATTATATTATTACTTTCACTACTCCTATATATGATATGATTTGGCTCACCGATACCGACAAGCCCAGCCTTCATTTGGTATATGATATGTGGGATACAATGATTGAGAAGGTGAAGACTGTTATTTATAGACATGAGAGCAAAAGAGAAAATGACCCCTCCTCATTTTATGATGTCATACACAAGATCTTGGAGGATAGATGGAATAAGAGCAACACGCCACTTGAGTGCTTGGCGCACTCTTTGAATCCAAGGTAATAATTTAGATTATGTTATCAATTCATTATTTTAGATGTGATTATTTCTATTAATAATGTCTAATTCTATGTTAAATTTTAATAGATATTATCACGAGACATGGCTCAATGAGAATATCCATCGGCAAGCACCCCATCAAGATGAGGAGATCTCTTCGGAAAGATCCAAGTGTCTGAGGAGATATTATCCTAATGCCGATGAACGGAGGACGGTTAACTTGGAATTTGCTAGATTCTCGGCTGCTCTTGACACTTTTAGGGATCCAGATTCTCTTACCGATAGAGGATTGATGGATCCAAAATCATGGTGGGCACTCTATGGATCCTCAACTCCAAATCTTCAAGCATTGGCCTTAAAGATTCTAGGCCAACCCTGCTCATCCTCTTGCTGCGAAAGGAATTGGAGTACATACTCATTCATTCACTCTTTGAAGAGGAACAAGATGACACCGTCAAGTGTAGAAGATCTTGTGTATGTGCATAGCAATCTTCGTTTGCTTTCTCGATCATCCCAAGAATATCAAGAAGGAGAATCGAGGCTGTGGGATATTGGTGGAGATGCATTCGACTCATTTCAGGGTGCCGGTATTCTTGATGTCGCCACCTTGTCTCTTGATGAACCCACCATGGAGGCTGTATTGTTTGCTGATGATGAAGGCAATGAAGAAGTCATTGGACTAGCTTCCACTCCATCTTGATGTATTTTTTGTTTACAAACTTGTTATTTTGTGATAGAATGAGTAGAGTATGTACTCTAATTCCTTTTTGTTTACAAACTTGTTATTTTGTGATAGAATGAGTATGTACTCCAACTCCTTTTTGTTTACAAATTTGTTATTTTGTGATAGATTCATAATTTAGATTGTTAGTTGAATTTTATAAAATTTTCTATATATAATAATAATTTGAAAAAAAATTCCTCGTCGTATCCCCGTATCCTATTTTTTTGGATTTTGCCGTATCCCGTATCCGTGTCTGTGTCGTATCCGTATCCCGTATCCGTATCCATGCATCATAGATATAATGTTATCAACTATAGAATGTCAGCAAGAAGACTACAACACTAGGTACAACATTATCTTTGCTCCTGTATCGGTTCTTCATACTTTCTTAGTTGTCTCATCCACTGATCGACAAGTAATTTCCAAAAAGTTGTAAATTCTAATACAACTTAAACTGAGTATATTTTCCTGTTAGAGAGAATGTAATCTGTGAAATTTATTGGTTGCTATATAACTGCTATGATGGCAGAGCATTCATCCTAGATTAAAAGTAACAAGGATATCTCATTATGTATGAATATGTCATGTCTTGTCTCAAATATATCCATTTGGAGGATACGTGAATATATTGCAAACATAGAATAATTTACCCCCCCCCCCCCCCCCCCGAACTTTCAGAGTTTTGCAGCAAAACCGCAATAACGTAATGAGTAGAACGAGCAAGATGCTTCGGGGGTGGAGGAGTAGACTTAAGAGTCAATACTTTACAGATATAACCAGTGATTGGAAGTGGATTCATCAGCTTGATAAGAGGGTTTCACCTTATAATTGGACGACTCTCATTATCGAGTGGGAGGGTGAGAAGAAGGTGAGTTATTTTTAATTAATTATATTACCACCGCATATACTGAAAAATTACTTTATTTTGAAGGATAAATGTTCGGTAGCATCGGCTAATCACGGTGCAAAGCTATATGATCACTTTCTGGGAGCTACTCACTACGCTCGGATCGAACATAAATATTTGTGTGAAAATCCGGTTAGATCAAAATATTAAAACTCAACTCATATTACTAGTTTCATATTTTATTAGAAATAACTTGAAATTTGATTATTCACAGGACGCCATGACTATGCCGCCAACTCTTCTTGCTAGAAGAGCATATACACCCCCCGAGGGCTATGATAAGGAGGAAAATGACTATGCCGCCAACTCTTCTTGCTAGAAGAGCATATACACCCCCCGAGGGCTATGATAAGGAGGAAAAGATGACAAAAATTAAGGATATGTGCTAGAAGAGCATATACACCCCCCGAGGGCTATGATAAGGAGGAAAAGATGACAAAAATTAAGGATATGTATGTAAGTATAAACTTAATTTCATATTTGCACACATACATTTATGAAGACATCTTCTTCATAAATTTCTTGCGTATGATGCTGGATATGCTCTTCTCTATGTTTTTTAAATTTTCATGTTTCTCGATGATATTCCATTTAAAATCCTTGAATACTAAATGTTTTAAAATAATTCACAATTAAATACTAATACTAATATATATAAAAAAATCAATCAAGAGAAGATGTAGAAGTTTTCATATGCAGACAACTTTTATTTCTCGAAATTGTATAAGCTATAAATTTTCCATACATAAATTTCATTATATCTACAGAAGTTGTATGGAATTTTCATATGCATGGAACTGGTTACTCAAATGTATGTAAGTATGTGTAAATTCTCACATATGATATTTAAAATTTTATTTTATAAAATTTCTATGTTGAAGTATTTCTAAAATTTCCATATGCATGTATCAGATTTTGACCAAGTGTGTAAGCAAATAAGTACTACACATTTTCTATGAAATTTGATGAGTTCAGTGGAAGAGGAGATTGTATTGCGCATGTGTTCAGGTGCTACTAAGACTTTACTCTAATTTGATGAGTTCAGTGGAAGAGGAGATTGTATTGCGCATGTGTTCAGGTGCTACTAAGACTTTACTCTATTTACTGTTCGTCATTGTCCAAGAATTTTATGCTCCAAAGAAGACCTCCATACCTCAAGAACCATCTGTCATTAGAGATTTACGCAGGAACATCCACATGAGTAGGATATTAGGTGGATCAAGCTCAAGTTGTGTTGATTATCTTAGGATACGTAGGGGACCATTCAAAAATTTAGCAATATTGTTGTGAGAGGGAGGGATTCTGAAAGACACCATACATGTATTGGAAAATCTGTTGCTGGTAATAAATTATATAGATGAAAAGGTAGGGGTAATCGTGAAGTCTTTTGTTGTTTTAATTACCACTGAAGGCATCATATTCAGAATATATCGATTTTAAGACTCACATAATCTTAAAATCTATTTTCTAATTAAATTTTGATTTAAATATATACACATCATATATATAGTATATCAGAATAATTCTTATTTATGAATTTTAACAATACTTGAAAATTAAATTCTTTAGCGAAATAGATATACTTTGATATTCGATAAGTATTCGTGAGTTTTTGGCTTCGACTTTGATTAGTTTAGAGAAAATGATGCGAAAATTAAAAATAATGAGAAAATAGTGAGATACCAAGGAGATCATTTTTAGTTATACGTTTTATGCACGTGTAACCATATTGATACTGCTAATGATATACCAAAAGTTATCATAGCCCTTTTTAATTAATTAGGAATATGATATATATTAGAGAAATTGGTTGGATTTGGGTTTCCACGTTGTAATGGGACAACTATAGGTCCAAATGGGTTGGATTTTTATAATTAAAAGTTAAGAGATACTGGGAATAATAGTTAGAGCAAAGATGATATATGTTGGAGAAAAATAAGTTTTTAATGGATTTGGGGGATGTAATAGCAATTTCCATGATTTTAGTGACTATTTTTGAAATATTAAAGATTTGTTAGTGTTTTTTATATATCTTTATGACTTTTTATTAGTTTATTTTATTTTCCCAGAACTAAAAGAAAATTTCCATAACACTTCGTTTGTTTCAACAATATTTTGGGATTTGGAATACTATAATTTGTAATATTTGTTTGTTTCAAACTCAAATTATAACATTATAAATTTTGGAATTTGAAATCAATAGTTGTAGCAAAACAATTTTTAGGATTACCATAGGTAATAAATGGTGAATATAAGAACATTTTTATTACTTTTTGGAATTTGAAATCCATAATTTGAATAAAGCTTTTGAAATCCACCCGACATCCCACATGAAAAAGAGGATTTTGCAAATCCTTAAATATTTTACTTTTTTATTATTTAGGGATTTAATATCCAAAAACTTATTTTGAAACAAACAAGTTTTATGGAATTATAAAACCCAAAAAACTCTTTTTACATCCCAAAACTTGAAATCCACACCATATCCCAAAAAAAATGAAACAAACACCCCCTAAATATATCCCTAAAACTGTCTTTCTCTATTCTCTTCTTTAACCTTCTTCCCCCAAAAAATTTCCCCCAAATTCAAAAATCTCGCCCCCTCTAAAATCCCTAACCCCAATCTCTGAAACCCCTCATCTCAAACTCCCAAGAACTGCCTCCTCTTCATCATCATTGTCGTCTCCATGCCCTCAGACCCCTCATCATCATCGTCTCCATCCTCTTCATCACCATCCTTGTCTCCATCCCCTCAGCGACTGTCCTCACGGTTGCTCCCTCTAGCACCTCCGCCTTCGGCGTCGACGAGCCCAATTTCTTTGTGAGACTAAGGTTTCTCTCCTTCTCTCTTTTGACAGCTAAAAGAAACATGCAATTTGTTAATTCATACTTTCTATTACACTTGTTTTTAACTTTTCGTTTGATCATAAGCTTTTCTCGATTAGTTAATTTGTGACATAAGGTTTACAAGTTTACATTTTGCAATTGACCAGTGAGTTTTCCTTTTAAAATATATCAGATTTTAAAGAACAACTTCAGATTTAAGGTCGGTTTTTGGTGAAAATTTTTCTTTGGTTTCTTTCATGATTTTGTGATGTTAATGAAAAAGAGAGGCAGGAAGATGGGATAATAAAATAGAAACATGCAAT